GGTCGAGCGACAGTTTGTGATGGCTGGTGCAGTTGCCATGGCGCCCGTTTAAAAACAATTTCGCTGCCATAGAAACGAGGGAAATAAATGTGTTTTTCTCGTCTCGTGCTGATTTAACCCGCCTGGCGCCGGGCCGCCCCTGGCGAGCGCGCCTCCGAGGAGGGGACCGCAGAGTCTGAGTCGCCTGTATGGGAATCTCAGAGAGCTGTCGCTCAAATTAACTAATTTTGTTTTTTTGTTTTTTTTTTGGGTTGCGGCGGACTTTGTAGACCCCTTTAGGGTGACAGGTTCTCTTTAATGGCGGCCACATACCACCCCGCGGTTCCGTAATAATACGCGGCGCGTGGCCCTTTAAGATGCAACAAGTCCACATGAGCAGCTTCCACTTTGCAACATGTCCGGGACGCATCGAAATGCATCCGCCGCCCCCGCGCGCTCCGGAGAGTCAGGTCGTCCTGCCATGTTCTGTCATCGGCTCCGTTGTCTGCAGGGAAATCAGCCAATCCGCGCACTCCGTTCCAGTCTCAGCAACAGCCCGCTTGTTATCAGAACGTCTCTCTGTAGCTAAACCCGAGAACAAAACATTTCATAGATTGAAGATTTTCCTGCTTACAGGCGGCGGCTGCGTTAGTTTTCCCTTTTTTATTTCTAACACACTTCCTGTGCCGGGGTGACAACGCTCGCTGGCTGTACTGTATAGAGACGCAGCGTTGTCACCATTACAGGAGGAGGAGGAGGGGTTGGACAGCTGATCACATGGTTCAGGAGGTCACAAGCACACTGGATTTCTATCAGGATCTGCAGGTATCCCTCTGTACTCGCTGGAAATGCCCTCAGCCTAAAAAAAGAGGGTGCCACTCATTTACTGCCCTAGGGCAATTATTTCCAGGGTGTCGCTCAGTAGCTACCCTAGGGCAATTATTTCCAGGGTGTCGCTCAGTAGCTGCCCTAGGGCAATTTTATTAAAGGTGCCACTGAATAGCCGCCCTAAGGTCATGGGGTGTCACAGGAATAATGTCCGGGGGGAATTGCGCTAAGAATATGCCCTAGGGCAATTATTTCAGGGGTGCCACTGAGTAGCTGCCCTAGGAAGCTTATTTTGGGCCTTCAATGAGTAGCTGCCCTAGGGCTATTATTTCGGGGGTGCCACTAAGTAGCTACCTCAGGGCAATTATGTCAGGGCTCCAATGAGTAGCTGTCTTAGGGCAATTCATTTGGGGGTGCTATTGAGTAGCTACCCTGGGGCAATTATTTTGGGCTTGACTGAGTAGCTGCCCTAGGGCAATTGTTTCCGGGGGCACTCTGGAGCAGCTTGCCTAGTGCAAATATTTTGGGGACACCACTGAGTAGCTGCCCTAGGGCAATTATTTCGGGGTGGCCACTGGGTAGCTGCCCTCGGGCAATTATTTTTGGGAGCTGCTGAGTAGCTGCCCTAGGGCACTTTTTTCGGGGGGCACTCTGGAGCAGCTGCGCTAGGGAACATATTTCAGGTTTCACCACTGAGCAGCTGCCCTAGGGCAATTATTTTGGGGTGGCCACTGAGTAGCTGCCCTAGGGCAATTCATTTGGGCATGACTGAGTAGCTGCGCTAGGGCAATTATTTCGGGGTGGCCACTGATTAGCTACCCTAGGGCAATTATGTTTGGGAGCTGCTGAGTAGCTGCCCTAGGGCACTTTTTTCGGGGGGCACTCTGGAGCAGCTGCGCTAGGGAACATATTTCAGGTTTCACCACTGAGCAGCTGCCCTAGGGCAATTATTTTGGGGTGGCCACTGAGTAGCTGCCCTAGGGCAATTCATTTGGGCATGACTGAGTAGCTGCGCTAGGGCAATTATTTCGGGGTGGCCACTGATTAGCTACTAATCCCTAATATATATATCTACAAAAATGTAAAATGAACAATAATAATAATGTTTTACTATTATTATTATATCTTTATTTTTTTTAGAAACTAAATAAAAATAAAAGCCCACTTCACATATATCAGTTTATTATACCTCAATAAAAACCATGGCAAATACCCATGACTCCTCCCCCCTCCCCTCCTCCCCCTTCCCATTCCGTCCATCTCCAACAGTCTAGAAAGTGCTCTCTAGTAATTGTTTCAGCGCTGCAAACATCCCATCAATAAAATGATTTCCCTCAAGTGCCATTAGTCCACATAAATAAATGCCGCCGTGTGCAATATGCCTGGATTTTGTGCAATAAGTTGATATCTGGGAAGTGGGAGGCGGCTTCTGAAGAGTGTCATTTATCTCCCTGCCATTTGCGGTGCGTCGTGTCTATTCTGGAGACTCCGAACCATTAGCGCTATGATTATACTTATTGTAGGACCTAGAGGCAGTATCTGATTGGGTACTTGTGTATATACAAACATTTATGGTTTTATAATATTCATAGCCTTAAAAAAAAAAGGGGGATTCTTTAGCCCCCGAAACGCGTAGGATTTAAAAAAAAATGCAATACCAATATTTACAAAAATGTAAAAGTGAACAACAATAATAATAATCATAACACATTATTTTTATTATTATTATGATTATTGTTATTATTATTATGATTATTGTTATTATTATTAT